TACAACGGGCCATGTAGGAGGGATGAAGGCAGTAGAGCCTGCACCTTTTCAGGGTCACGGCAGCGCACAGTTCCGCGCAGAAAATTTTTATGGTGACCTCTGCCTCCAAACGCTCTTTCGATGGGAAGGTGAGACTATAGGAAGAGTGTTTTCGACTTGCTGTTAGGCCCTCATCCCTCAAAGACACACAACCTCTCAACGTTCCAAGGCACACAACGTCCCTACGCTTTGCTTTTACAAGCGCGTAAAATTTGACGTAGACAAGCAGCCCAGCGAGCTTGAACAGGGTCAGGAGAAAGTTCTGAGCATTGAATCGGTTTGCGACTGACCCTGCTTTCTCATAGTAGTCTGAGTACTTCTTGAGGTAGCGATCATGGCATCCAGCCCAGCCGAACAGAATCACCAAGGTTGACGAGCCCGGCGACAGGTTTACGATTACCCGAGAAGATTTTGTTTCGGCCGGCGTCTTCTGGGAAACCATCCTGGAAATAGAACACAGCATTCTAGGAAACATATGAGGACAGAGAATTTGGAGCCAATTTACACGATCATTTATCGCATCACAATTCAGCTTGGAAACTGATGAAAGAACAGAAGAATAGTGGAGACCAACCTCTTCCAGGGCTGGATGCCGCAAGAATGAACAAGTGATCGAGTTATAACAACCTTGCTATCGTCAAGAACATCAATGAACGAAAAGAAGAGGCAATAATTCATGATTAGATAGCAGTGAGGCTCGAAGGAGGCTCGAAATGTGCCCTTTCCACGCGAAAATCGTTTATAGGACCGGAATACAACTCCTTCTCTCCCCCTCTCCCTCCTTCCCCTTCCTTTCTCACTTATGTGCAGGATGCCCTGACTGGGCAGCCATTTCCTGTTTTGCTACGTCTCATCCCCTTAAACACGTGAATGAGTGGGCCGTTATGGCAAATGTGAGCGGTACTGTGTGACGGCGATAGTACTTGTCCACCCCGCATCTGCGCTTCTGACGCGAATATGCCACCCAGTTCCTACGGCCAATACGCAACAATCTACTCCTTCATTTATGGACGAGGCTGACGAAACGAACAGCGCTGCTGGCGAATGTCCAAAAGACTAACATAATGTATGAGCCCTTTTCGGCAGCTGAAGCGTGTCAAGTAGGCTAGCTTCGCCTCACGCCGAACCCGTTTTTTTACATGGTTGCAGTTGGTAAGCAGTTGCAAGTGGTGGAAAACGAACGAAATAATACAGTCTTGCCACTGCTCTCTTCAAAACTGGTGAAAAACGGGTTTTCGCCGCGGCAAGACCGTTCTGACTGGACGACACTCCCTTTCGCAGAGACCGCATTCGAACATAAACTGTAGAAGTCTCATTCTTCTGAAAGTTTTCAACTCTTGTGTCGTAGAAGAAAAGGAGTGTTTTGCAGACATTGCATCAATGGCCGAATCTCATTAAAGGCAGTTGGCACGATAAATCGCTATACAGGTGTAGGATTTGTACAACTGTCTTAACAGAATTCCGTGACCTATGGACAGGCGCAGCGTGGAGCCTTTTTCAAGGAGGGTACCTCTATAACGCCCTATTGAGCAACAACTTTACGTCCCAAACGCCTTCCTTGCCCGAGTGGTTTGATTGGCGCCGGCGCACAAACCGAGACGCCTTGTCCGAGGCTCGTATTCATCTCATGTTGTGAGCAAATCTGAAGCAAGAGGGGATTGGTTATATAAAGCGGCCGTGATGGCTGGCACTGCGATATATAGGTTAATAATTGGTAGCCGTGTCTTCAAGTAGCTGGAAGATGCGTTACGGGACAACTCGTCGATCTACTTACAAGTACTGAGGAAGGAGGCTTTTTTCTTCACCCAAGAGGATTGTGACGGGTTTCACTCTGTTCTTTCGCCATTCCCCACTTATATTCAAGCGCCCTACTAGAATTTTAGGCTAAATGGAAACCATTGGCCAGTGGCCTTTAAAGGAGGTGGTAGAACGGGTGGAGACGTGGTAATCCCGCTGCCAGGATTGAAACCGCCACATTCAGTAGCCTGCGGGAGAAACTTTAAATTCTTTGAGTTTTCCTGTTTCTAACAGCGCGCCTTGTTCTCCTGTCTGCCTCAACACGCCATGGGTGCCGCGACAAAGCTGTCATATACTCGAAATCCCTGAGATCGGGTGAGGCGTGGCCACCTGTTTCAACCTATCCTGAAGGTGTCTGTGCTTCTGGTGAGATATTTCTCAGCACCTTGACACAAGTGTTGCCGGTGTCAATGAATGTAGCGATGACAGTTGTCGAGACTGGAAATATTCACGAGTAACCAGATTCATCGCCGTTGTCAAGAATGCACGCTACTCTGCTCTACGGGATAAGGAGTGTACCCTATAGTCTGCGTTCGCGGGCGTGTCCGGGGTGAGCGACGGATTCAGCGGCGGCGTCACGCTATAATTTACCCGCCGCTGATCCTCTCCACCATCGCCCGCTAATGCTGTTTGGACTCCAGCAAATTTGCGGAGCGAGCTGCAATTTTTCAAATTGCCTAAAGTCACAAACACCGCTGAAGAACATGTAGAACGGATTATTACCATCGTGATTACAATTATGACACTCATTCTTGGCGCTGGCGCCAAGGGATGACACTACGATTACCTCTTGGGCTCAGCCTTAGCGGAGCGCAGATAATCGTAGTGTCATCCATTAGCGCCAGCGGCAAGAGTGAATGTCATATTCGTAATCAGGATGTTAAACTACCCCTACATACAAGTTTTTAGCGGATTTGGTGACTTAGGCAATTTAAAAATGAGCTCGGTGCCGAAATTGCTGGAGTCCAAACGGCATTAGCCGACATGCCCCAGCATCCGAAGTGAACAAGTATATAGAATTCGTGGAGCTCCTCAAAATGGACTCATCAACGTCTAAAGTTAAACCGCGCTATCGAACAAATATCGCAATTTGCGATTGCCTTTTCATAGATTCGCTCTTCATCTGAATAAACGAGTCTCCTCACCCAGAAGGATTCCCTGCGACTCCGGCGAGCAACTTGTAAAACCATAATTGTTGTTGAACTGGTTCTCTATGCTCACCATAACAAATTAGCCGTAGGCGGTATACGAGTGGAATAAAGCATTTACGTGGGAGGTTACAGAATTTAATTGCTAGTACCGCTGAAAAACTGGAATCGCTACTTCCTCACTCATGTTTGACAGCACGACGTTCGCTGTCGCTGCTCTTATGTACTTTCAAGAAGTCTTGGGCGCTCTAATTTAGCGAGAACAATAGCTGGAAGGATCTGAACCCCCTGTCCTTTTCCCTCCCATCTTGCTCAAAGGAAAACTTTGGAAAATCTTGTTAAGATGATGTGCAGGGGTGAAAGGACCCTCCTTCTGGGAGATCGTAAAATACCACCCCTTCACACA